GAAACGCCATTAAACAATATAAAGCACCTATGGCATGCCCAACGTTTTTCACACCAACAAGGTCACGCGTTATAACGGGCAGTAACATCTCGTAACAACCGTCGCACACACCAAACGTGAACGCGTACACGGCTATCCACTCGTATTTCGTTGCCATTGTTACAGCAGACGTAGAAATAGCTATGCATAGTAAGGAGGCTGAACAAACTTTAACGCGGTTGAACTGAGGGTAATCACATAGCGCACCGAGCACCAGACTTCCCAGCAAACCTCCGATTGCTAAGTAACCCGTCAGGAATGATGCGCTAGATTTGGTGACTCCTTTATCTTCTGCGAAGCGAACCTAAAAGCCAATCAGAGAAGTGGTTAGCGAGTGAGGCCATATCCTTACAACGCAAATAGTCACTGTTACCTGGCACAGAATGCTAGAAAGTTGTGTGGCTAACAACTTGCACGGGGAGCAGAACAAAGATACTAATGTTAGTTGACAATTTTTAATACCCCTCTTTGTTAAGAAAGTCAGGAAAGCAAGTAGCTTCGTCTTTGACTCGTAAAAACAATATTCATTGATCACTAGTAGCTCTGCTTGCTTCACGATCTCCCTCGCCTTACAACTTTACTGCGATCACGAAGGGCGTTTCAACCGTGACATTAGATTTATGCATATTTAAATTAAAAAGATCTTACCAAATGGACGAAAGGCACAAGAAACACCACCATAAAGATGCATTGCGCCACAACCCACATAACATATGCTTTGCTCCTGAAAAAACTCAAGTAGAATTCTCTGTTTTGTGGTTGTTGATTTCTCCTTGTTGCCGAGGAGACAGGGGAAAACGTCAAGGCGCTCAGAAGCATCAAACTCTGAAGACCCGCAAGAATCCGAAACGTAGTCGAGATGCCAAATTTGGAAGACAGCTTCTCAATTATTGGGCCATATACCAGAGTCCCAGATGCAGCTCCTGCCAGAGCTATTCCCGAAACAAGAGCCAAGCGCCTTTTAAAGTACTTCGTTAGCATTACCAGCGAGGGGAATAAGCCGAGACTTGCCCCCAAACCCCAGACAACTCCATAGGTTGCATAAAGTGGTGCAAGTGTTGTTGCGAAGGAACTGGCCAGGAGGCCTACGGCAGACACAAAAGATCCAATGATGACAACCAATCGGCTTCCGAAACGTTCTGCGAGAGAGGTGCCCACAGCAGCGAACAGATACATCATACTGGACGCCAGCGAGGCAACCCAAGCTACGAAGGGAGACAAAGTTACTCTTTTGACTGTTTGGTGTAAAATAATTAACGATTGAGTTCCGCCAGCCATCTTATATGGGAGCGCGCCAGTTAGATTTTCGCCCTTGGGATGCGTGCAGTGTGATTCGGGATAGAGAATTCTTGTGGGTGGTTTCGGAAATCTAAGGGGAAAGTTGGGTTGTAACGCAGTATCCTAACGTAATTGACTCATCTTCATCTCTGGAAAATTTTGAATAGTATATCTTTTACCTGTCTCTCCTCTTGATGTAGAATATTTTTCCATCAAAGCATCATAAACCACTCCCGCGCAGTTTTGTTGTCCAACAGTCAGGAAGTTCACCATAAACACACCCAGACAAACGACCCATCCCCAACCTCCGTCGGGAAGAGGATGACTGCCATTTGTTTCCGTCACTTTCTGTTTTGAAGGTGCATTAGAAACATCAAACTTTTCTTCATAGTTGTCGCATGCCATTTTAACGTTTTCCCTGATTGTTTTTAGTCTGAATTAACTGCAAAGATAAATTCACAGATCAAGAGTTAAGCCTATTGTGCCCCAGCAGAAGTTTAGAGAAGGGATTGCTTTAAGATGAACGGCCTTCAAGTTGAGGACAAGAGAAACAAAGAAGAAACCTGTTAACTGGCAGTTGAGAACTATATCTTTCAACAATTGCCTTCTTTGTATAATTATTGCTGCGAGCATTAGCCAGCAGCAACACTACTCTTGACTTTCCGTGTGGGGCCTATATATATATATATATAGTTAGATATAGCTCTTTGGCATACAAAGCTTTGCTTTCATGTCCAAATTGAGCACTCTACTAGGATGAGTCATTGCTGCTAGCATTATGCATGCTCACTAGTTTTTCTAGTTTGAGCACTCTGGTATGGCTTAGATGATACCACATATGTGAGATCACTTGGGGTGGCTATATGGCCTTACCTCCATCCTAGAATCAGCACTGCACTGATGAGGCCCAGAAGGCCGAAACAGTACTGTCTGCAGTTAGTTATATATATATATATGCGTTCAACATATGTGTTCAACACTCGATCCATTGCAATGTGACTTTCGTTCGCTCGGTGGCGATGATTTTGAAGATGCAGTATTAGTAGTATTAGTAGTTGTTGAATTGTGCGTGCGCAGCTCACAAGGTCCCATAATCCTACCATCAAGCCCTCGAGAATTCAATAGTCGACCAGAACTGTTTTTGTATTTATTTTTGAACCGATCTATCATGTCAAATGCAATTCTATCAATCGCTGGAACTATTCATCAAGGTCACGAACGATTTAGTGACATTTCCAGGGGAAGACAACGCCCGTTTATGAGTTTTTCAGCGTTGTTGTGTGCACAATCATGTCTAGTGCGGCACTGGGATACTGCTGACCAAATTTTAATCGTAGGAGAGAGGATGTACTTGAATGCACTTGAAAGTCAAAATATTTCAGATACAGAGACGTTGTTACATCCTATTAATAGTTCAATTTAGGTTACCTTTTAAATTACAAGAGAATTACCCACTTATCGAGGAATCATGCAATAATTTATATAAACAATTTATGACAGATATTTCAAATTACCCTCATACTACTTAAATCCCATTAGTCATTAAGTCCACATTACTTGTTCGGTTACAAGAGAGCTATCCATTTGTTGATTTATTTTGTAACAAATCAAATACAGGTAAGAAAATTCTGATGAGATGTTAAAGCACCTAGAATTGAATTCAAAACAACTCACAATGGCTTGAGCTTTTAGATACTTAGATATCCTGATAACATACAGTTTCATATATGTTATATAGCTTCTAAAATGAATTAGTGATTTCCTTGTGTTCTTGTTCTCTCCAAGAAATGTTAATTTAAAAGACAAACCAATCACAGATATGTGAAATTGCCATCGTACAGCTCTTTCTGGTTCCTGTTACTTGTTGAATTCTAAAGAGCAATATTAACATAACTATTTACATTTCAATAAAAGCTAAGTTTTTTCGTTTGTCTCACGATGTAGTCACGTGTGATGTAGATCGCGACGTTTCGACTGCATACTGCTAGTCTTCTTCGGGCGATGAAGTCGACTGGTCATGCGTGATCCTATAAAGCATGATGCTCTGTTGTGATTAGTTGTTTTTTCAACAGCTATGATTGGTGCATTTCGATCCTTGCTGTTCACTCAGTGATTTGCTCCCTCGGCGGTCCGCTGTCACACGGCTCTCTTGTTGTCGTGTTTTTTGATCGTGGGCATCCACGCTTCTGGAATTTCTATTCCATTATCCCTGTTGATGTTTTTAGGGCGAAGTCTTCTATGAATTGCCTCTTTAATTGACCCAAAGACTAGCAGTATGCAGTCGAAACGTCGCGATCTACATCACAAGTGACTACATCGTGAGACAAACGAAAAAACTTAGCTTTTATTGTGATTCACCACGATGAATAACCACAACCTTTTCTACGAAATATTTACATTTCGTTGTAAGTGTTCACACAATGACCAAAATCCAGAACAAAAGGAAAAAAAAATACCGTAAACATTGCAGAGGCTATTTGCCTTTACTATCAGTGTTTCATTTTGCTTTGATTTACATGACAAATCGTAAGTAATGTAACTTGAAAAAATCTGCCACGTAATTTTAGTTGACTTTGGCAATACTTTTTGTAAATGTATGGTTGTGCAAATAATGCTTGTTGTCGTTGCGTATTTCGTTCGTCCCCTCGCACCACTTAACTTGTCATTAGCAACCACTAGTCATAATAATAACAATCTCGAGGTAGCATCGTAGTGTCACGCAACACTGTATATTTTCTGAAGAGAGAATCTATATTTTGTTGTCAAGAATGAATTCGAATTTGGTTCGGTTCTATTTAAGTTCTTTTGTGTGGCTGCAATAGTTTTTTCTTCTTTTTTGTTCTTTATTCATGTGCCTCACGTCGCACGGTTCACTTTCTCAGCAGAATGACAATAATGCAACCACAGACAGAGACAAATCTGGTGAAATACTGCCGACAACACCACGCTGGGAGAAGTTGCAGCAACCATTCGGTTCGTTTTAAAAACAGCAACTTAACCGAGAATATCCATCACTACGGCGGAACTTTGTCCGCGCTAAAAAGGCTTGAGATGTTGAAAACTCGCCGCAAGAAAACTCGTTGCAATGACTTGAACTGCAGTCACACTGAGCGATCTGTCGAGGTGACCTGTCACAATGAATTGTGTTGCCACCTCCATTCCTTTGCGCTTTGACGCACAGGAACTTTGGGATGTTACCTCATGAAAAGACTAAGATTTTAGGTTGTAAGTCAGTAAAACTGCTTTATTTTATTCCAATGCTGCCTATTGTTGTACAATCTATGATGTTTCATTTACATGCAGACCTACCTTACTGCGGACTTAAACGGCTAAATTCAGAAAATCCAGACGCTGGTTTGCCCAATACCCTGCTCCTTTTCCAATTTGTGTTCCAAGAGTACGGTCGAGTTTCATCCACAACAATTTACCCGTAATGAGAACAAATGAGTGTTCTTACCCAAGCCTTGTTCGCTTTTGCACACGCGAAGACTGAATTACGCCAGACAAGCTTTCTTAGGAAATTGGGTCATTGTTCCAGTAATAAATTGCGTAACTCCTTACAATGCACTACAAGACACCTTCGGAATGTCCCACGAGACCACGACTCAAAAGTTCAAATAACGCATTTGAAAAAATAGCTTGAATGAAAATCTTGTGTGACTCGTAAGTTTATTTATGATAACAGACAACGAATACCTTGCATTATTACAATACCTTTAAAATATTACCAAAAAAAATGGGTGCTCGATTCCCACGATCCGGGATTGCCATATTCTTTGGATTGTCGCACGATTGGATTGTCACGTAATGTCACGAAAAATACCACAGCATTAGTGATGATTTGCGTGAATTGTAGCGGCTGAAATTCTTTACAAACTAATTTTGTTTTCAATTTGATGATAATGTGCGGTGGAAGATTGTATGAATTTGAAAACGGGGCCTATTACAATGCTTTTCGTTTACATAATTTGGTGCCCGGCCCTGACTAGATGATGACATTCTTTTTGGCTAAGTCTACGAAATCGAATTTTGTAAATTATCCGAAATTTATTCTGGAATTTCCAGACCTCCTATCGATAGCTCTTCATTACTATGCCACTTACCTTATGATAATTAAGATTATCGACAGAACCACATGTGTTTTAAAAGACGCCAAATCAAGCCATTGATTGCTGTTTCTTTCAGGATACCAGGCAGGTATGTCAAAGGCGTATTCTTTTCTTTTGTAATTGTATACGGAAGAGGAGTAAATTGATAGCTGATAATTACTTTAAAACGGTGAAAAACTCCATGACAACCAACTGTCTGAGAAAATGCTCCGTAGGTAAAATTTGCACGGGCATTAGGATAACATTAAGTTTTCTCTCTGTGCAAGTCAAGTGAAAAATACGCGGGGAAAAAGCGGATAAAAAGGGGATGCAATATAACAGAAACTTAAAACGTACCTGAAAAGGAAAAGTTCGTTTTATTGTGCAGACGACACTAATTCTGATGATTTTATTCATCAGGGGAAAAAAAACAGGCTAAGCGCATATTTAATTGCTGGTGGTGCGGGTTGTTTTGGTTAAAAAACTGCCATGAAGGGAAAAAAAATTAAGTTGTTACTTTGCCTCAAGACCCCAATGACTAAACTACAACTACAACTTCCATGAAACAGTAATTAAAAACGCTGAATATCTTTCCGAAAATTTAATGTATTTTTAAAGTAAGGCCGCTAGGAAAAAGAACCACAGAAATCTT